GGGCAAAGCGGCCGACCCCCCCCCCACTACAGCCTCCTGTCAGGCAGTTGTAGAGGGCGATAAGGTCTCCCCTCAGCCTCCTCTTCTCCAGGCTAAACAGCCCCAGTTCCCTCAGCTGCTCCTGGTAAGACTTGTGCTCCAGACCCCTCACCAGCTTTGTGGCTCTCCTCTGGACATGTTCCAGCACTGCAACGTCTTTCTTGTAGTGAGGGGATAATACAAGATATAAGAGCATAAGTTGGGAGTGGGACTCGACGATCCTTTTGGGTCCCTTCCAACTCAAGATACTCTATGACATAAAGGTTTCTGTTTCCAGTCTCTATCTGCAAGTTTATCTCTATTCATGACAGATGCCAAAATAAACCAAACAGCAAGAGGACAAGTGCAATTTCTAATATGTTTTATTAAGGGCTTTCTGGAGGTGTATCGCTGTTTTGGTTATGACATTTCCTGACTTCTCAAATGTAACAATTTATGTAGGAAAAGGAAAAAAAAAAAAAGAAAAAAAAAAAAAGAAAACCCAAACCAAGGAGGAGGAGCAAAAATTAGTGAAGAAGATGTGAAGAATTTAAGTTCTTGAGAACAGAATGGTATCTCTAGAGCAACACCAGTATGTTCTTTGCTATCTCTTCTTTGTCATGCATTTTTTGTGAAAAGAAAATCTTGTTTCGACTGAATTGTTATGAACTCTGAATTCACTGCCTGGCCATAGATTAGTACTTTCAAGAGACTTCACAAACTGAATTCTTCTGGCCTATTTCTCTCTTGGTGGTATGCATATGTGGTAGTCACATTTCTTATCTAGAGTCACAGCTAGCTAACAGAAAGATGTCTAATGGAACTAACTAGTTCTTTGTTTAGAATTTATGATCACTGTGACCAGAGTGTAGATGTTCAATCAAAATATTCATTTAACATAAGAATTGTTCTGGAAGTGCTGGAGTCATTGGCTGGTTAGGCAAAAATATCTCCAAGCTCGAAAAAGAAAGAGAACTTCTGAAATAGTACTGGTGCTGAGTTGAGTTCTTCCATAGCATCACAGTAGGCAATTGTATTTAATTTATTCTCCAAAGTCCTTGATGCTCCAGCTTCCCAGATAATTCTTGTTGAAAACAGATACTGAAAGTTAATCTCTTTGGATTGCAAGAAGTCTAACCTGCATGTATTCCCTGAAATTCAGATGCATTTTTGGTACTACCAGTAAGGTTGTACCTAGATTATAAGCATTCACATTGTTGTTTTGGAATGATTACCGTAGGAATCACTGAATTCTCTTAATATAGAGGCATATGGCTAACACACAGCTTAAACTCTGTGAAATATGTACCTGGTTCACGGAGGAAATCTGTACACGTTTCCAGACGGAGGTGGAGGGAAAAGAAACCCCAAATGATTTTGTACCATCTGCATAGGTAGCGCCTTACAGTGATGAAGGTGGTATAATTCTTGGTGGAATGATTTGCAAATGCCTGGAGCCAAGTTTAACGTTTGTCCATGTATTGGTAGGTTGGTTGCGTAAAATTCAGTTAATTTATATCTCATGCTGTCAAGGCTGTGGGAAAGGTTGCCAAAACCCCTGCATTTTTTCCAGCGACTTACAGGACTCGTGGTGACTTTGGAGGGTTGGGGGGGGAGGGGGAAGTTGCCTTACAGTCTGTAGCTGCAGCTGCCTTGTGAGTAAATCAATGAAAACTGACCCCTTACGCAGTTTGGGAGCGCTCTAACTGTGCTGATTGGCCCCTGAGTTGTGCGTTCTTTCGGCACAAGTGCTGAACGTGAACATTCGTGTGAAACTGTTGTGAGAGCTTCTTATGAACAGGGGCAATGAAATGTATATTCAAGCAGCACAAATCTGGAAATCAGTGGGGTAGAACGGTTTTCCAGCTTGATTAATAAATGTGGTTTATATTTATTGGTGCTTTTGAATAGTACCACCTCTCATAAGTGGGGAAAACAGCATCTGTGGTAATTAAATACTGTTTTTTCTTAATAATTATTCCAGTTGCGCAGTAGGGAAAAATGCAGCTAACATGTCATGTGAAGAGTAATTTTGGTGTGCTGCTGAAGGGTGGAGGACATCTGAGAGCTGTGGAGAGGAAGACTGAAGGGCTTTTTCAGTTCTCAGAGAAAAATTCTGTGATCATTCTCTTATAATTTAAGGTAATTATAAGAGAATTAGCCCTCAGCACAGTAAACTAATAGTATGTTAGGACTTATTTAAATGGGAAGCAGTATATTTTGTCTTCCAAGAAGGGATGGCTTTTCTCTTGTGTTTCTCCCCCCCCCCCCCCTCTTGGGGTGTCCCCCCCCCCCACCTCAGTTTGCTTTCAAAAGGCAGCCTGTTGCACCTTGAACATTCGATTCATTTGTCTTTGCGCTTTTTTTGGGAAACATCTGAATTGATGGGGTTGTGCATAGTGGAGAAATCTCACTTTTTTTTTTTTTTTACCCTGCTTGTTTCTTATGCAAGTTGAAGTCTACATAATCATTTTCTTCTGAAAATGGATCAAATGTGCATGCTTATACTCACTGACCTACTTATGGTGAGGTAGAGAAAACAGGACGGAATTACTGTGGATTCTGCAATGTGCCTTTTGTAATACTTTAGCGACAGGATGTTCCTGCTATTCTTGTGTTTGAAGTCTGGAACACTGACAACTGGAGATAAGCAACCAGAATCTGTCTTGTTGAATCCAATAGCTTTTTTTTTTTTTTTTTTTTTTTTCCCTCCTCATTTTATCTTATTAGCTTAATACAACCTGGCTTGTACGTCAGAAACAAAATTGAAAACCCTTGTGACTATGCCAGGTTGAGTTTTTATGCCAGTAATGGTAAAGACTTCAGAATGACCACATTGATTGACTGCATTATCCATTTGGCCAAGAAATCTTTTCTCTGACTACACCTAATAGGAGTTATTTATGGAAAGGCCATAAGAGGTAGGATAGGAGAGTAGTAATGCAAAAACTAGAACATGCCCTCCCTGTTTACAGGAATAATGAGAGGTTGCTGGCTTGGAGTTTTAGTCTAGACTATCATATTTAATAGATAGTGATAGTTCTTTGTGTCATGAATTTGCCAAATTAATTTTAACCCATAGATAATCTTGGAATTTTTTTTTTTTTCAGATACGCTTCTTTCCTTTTAAGACATTTCTGGAAGCACTTTGAAAAGGGCTGTATTTAGGGTAATTTTGTGGGTTTGTTTCCTGGTTTCTCTGCTCTTGAAAAATACATTTTGATAGGGAAGAAGAGGAGATAAATTTCTTAAAAACAGCGTGGGGTAGTAGGATGGAGCAGTAGGAAGGAGTAAGGGATAGAAACTACACCATGAGTAGGATGGAATCTTAACAATTCAGTGCTTTGCCTGTACTGATCATCATAGGCTTGTCATGCTGAAGTAACTGCTGGCCAGGATCTCTCATTAAGGAAATGGGAGTCACTTCAGATTACTTTGGAGGACAATTTGAAGATGACCAATACAAGGCAATGCAAACAATAACAAACAGAAGGAAAGCAAAAAACTTTCAATAATCCCTTTCTTCCTGTCCCCTGCCCCATTTCTTCCCCAAAGTGGGTCTTACTAATTTTTTCTTTTTTTTTTTTTCTTTTTTCTCTTCAAAACACTTTGCCCTATTTTTGAATTAAAATCCTGAAGGCACATCAGATTACCTAAGAGCATGTCTCTAAACTATACAGTGTAGAGTACGTAGGTATTGAAGACAGATGACAAAGAACATGGAAAAAGGATATTTAATTGGGCCAGTTGCTACTTGTAGGTGCATTTTAACACTGAGTCAGAGAGGCACAACTGAGGTCTGCAACAGCTCAGATAAATGGGTAGCACAATATCATTTCAATACATCTGTAATTTTCAGTTAACAGTCTTCAATTAAAAAAAGAGCCAAAATTATTAACACATCTAGATTTCTAATAATCCTTGTAGATGTTATGACACAAGTTATAAAATCTTAACCATTGTATCTGTCATAAGTCCTAATACTCTTTTCTTAACTAATTTAATTGTTAATTAGGTAAACAATACTTTTAAGAAATGAGTTGTCCTTATTTTTAGTCCACGCTATTTCTGAATTCAATTTGTGTTTAAAGACAAATAATCTACTCTTCGTTTCTACTACAAAGTAAAGCATTGCTGCCATTGACTTTCAAAGTTTGGGTATAAGGTTCTAAAGGAACACTTTTTTTTAAAAAACATCTGCTTCGAACTTAGGTTAAATAGAAAAGGTAGAATATTTCCTTTTCAATTTCTAGAAGCTTTAGTACGTTCATTCTGTCAATGCATATAACCAGGGTACACAAAAGCATTCATATCAGTTGTATCAGCTGACCTTTGATCATCATTCCATCTTCTAGCAAAAGCACCAAAAATGGTTTCTTATCTGTGTACGTTACTGCTCTGTCTAATCACATATTGTTATCAGCATTGTACCTGTCCTTCCTTCTCAGTTGCATTTAACTGTTTATACCCATTTGTAGTGTCTTCTTTTAAATTATCTTTGAAGTTTTTCATAGCAGGATTTTATCTTCATCTGTTTAGTGCAATCCTTATGAAAGTGAAAATCCTGTCAGATTTTGAGTTCATGGGTGTAGTGAAATTCCAGTAGCTGACATTTTTCCTTCTTAGACAACCTTAAAAGTTGGGGGAAAAAAAAAAGTTTAAAGTAGTTAATAGTGTAGCTTTCAACCCAATAGCCACATTGCTGACGTTATAGCCTAGTCTCTGTATATAATATATACTCTCACGTATATAAACTATGGCAATGAATTTATTTCTTACAATAGTAATCTAGATATCCTACATGATCTTTAGTGAAATACCTCAGTAAAACAGGTGGTGATTTTTCTAGATGGTGCTTTTGTAGGACCTGCCCTTCATCTAGCTGACAAATATGAGAATGACTCCATTTTTTGTTTGTGTAGTTCACATGCATTTAAAAAATGTAATTTTGTGCTGTTCCAATGATTTACTTGACTGTTTTTTTGATGTAAAAAGTAAGAGCCTTCCTTTCAATAGGATTTGCCATATTTAGGTTTTAATGTTCTCAAGGAGTTAATATTTTTATATATTTTATATTGCAAGTTCTTTCATAGTTATCCAAGGTACTCATAGATGGAAAACCTGGATTTTGTTTGTGGCCATTGCTCTGAGTTTACTGTGTTTGCATTTTAATTGGTTCATATTTTAATCCAGGAATATTTCCAAGGCTTACATGCTGAGCATTTTAAACACAGACCAAAAGTCTTTTAGGCAACAAAGGCAACTGTAGCGTCATGAAGAGGGCATTCTTGATAAGTTTTTTGCCCACTGTATCTTGTGCAGATTGTTCATCCAAATGCTCCAGGAAAATGTTACTCCTTTACAATGCTTAAGCAAGAAAATCACGTATCAAATTGTTTCTTTTTTAATTGATTCTGTTCTTTGCTTTGTTTTAAAAGGACATGTGATGTTAGAATGCCTAGGTAATATTTTCATTGATCATAATAGAATTGGGTGCATGGATCACGTTGTGGTCCAGTTATATAAATCTTGGAATAGGGTGAAATACTGCTATAGGCAGAAATCTGTTTAGCTGTGAAGTCATAGAATCATAGAATATCTCAAGTTGGAAGGGACCTATAAGGATCATCAAGTCCTACTCCCTGCTCCTCACAGGGCTACCTAAAACTAAAGCATATGACTAAGAGCGTTGTCCAGATGCTGCTTGAACTCTCATGTGCTTGGTGCCAGGTCCCTGGGGAGCCTGTTCCAGTGATTCACCATCCTCTCAGTGAGGAACCTTTTCCTAATGTCCAGTCTGAACTTCCCCCAGTGCGGCTTCATTCCATTTCCTCATGTCTTGTCGCTGGTCACCAGAGAGAGGAGACCAGCACCTCCCCCTACACTCAAGTGCCATTGATTCTTAGATTATAGTAAATTTATACAGAGAAGTAGTGCATACCAAGAACACAATGAATCAGAAGCTCAATAATTCTTTTCACTCTATGGAGCACACTCGTTGATTCATGCTGTTTATTTGGACATCAAGAGGTTACTGTTACGCCTTCAAATTTTTAGTGTGTTGGGAGAGGGTGGTGTTTGCTAACCACTGCAAATAAATTCAGTGCTGAGGCTTATAAGCATATAATTTTTATATATTAGTTTGTTCAGTATTCCCACATTCAAAGTGTAGAGAATTTTGATGCTTTATTTCTTTGATTCTTTGTTTTTTCAATTCTAAGTATTCCAAATTTAAAGGTAATTTCTATTTTTTGTCTTTTAATAGTCCGATACCTACCTCTGCATGTCAGTACCCCTGCCGGTGGATGATGAAGCCTATGTAGGTGAGTATTGGTTGACTGGAAGAATCTAAGCAAGCAGTTCAGCATTTTTATTTTTTTTCTTTGGCTCATATTGACTTAATCTTTGGCTGTCAGAGTTTCCAAAATGCATTCATCATGGCTAATGCAGAAACAAACTAGAGAGAGCTACTTAGAGTCAAGATAACAAACTGTATCTGGAGAGATTCATGAGTAATAGTAGTTAAGGAGCTGCATGCAGATGCCTCTGGCAGTCAGTACCAAACAGCCCCATTTGTAAAGTATTGGCTTTCTGTCTCTGGCCGGATACTTAATTCTGCTCCACTGAGCAGACTGTTTATTTACCTTCTGGTACAGGCTGTAAATCCATTGCACTTACAGTCAGTGTTGGCTGCAGTATGATTTTACTTATGTGGGGGAAAAACCCAAAACCAACCAAACCCTCTCCTCTCTTTTTTTTTTGATGTTGTGGCACAAATAAGATGGCAGACAAATAGCAGGAGGTACTCTCATAGTGTACAAATGTTGAGATCATATAGGTCAGCAAAACACCGCCATCTGTTCAGAAGGTCTTTGAGGTACTTTTAATTTCATTTTTCCTTGCTTGTGAACATACATGTGAGCATGCTTGTTCAGGTAGAGGGAAGGCTTATTGCCTTCACTATCAGAATATGCTATAAACTGAAATACAAGAAAACAATGAGAAGTTAAAATGTCCATATTTTTCTTCCTCTACTCTTTTTTGGATATCTGCTCTTACAATAAATATGGTGGGAATCCTGTGTAGTTTTTGTACTGTAATACGAGACTATTGTTCCACGGTGAATTTCTGTGTGAAATAATTCAGGAATAGAATATTGTGTTTAGATTTTCATGTTGTATTATAATAACTAAAAAAATTTAGTAAAGATTTTTCAGTGCTTTCTCTATAGATCTGTTTTGTAAAAGAGTCAGAACGTGATCTCACATTTTGGCTGTGAGTCTGACCCCAGAAAGAAAAATGACCATAAAAGGGAGTGAGTGTTCATTCTTTGATAAACTATACTTACTGTGCAATAGACTCTTCTGGTTTCAAGTGATTCATAGAAAGGTCTACTATTAACCTGCTTCTTAAGCAATTTTTATTTAGTGCTTCGTGGAGTTGCAAAATTGCAAAGTTCAGTTCTTTACTGGATTGCTACACATTTAGTTCTGTCATTTGGTGTTTGCATGTGTCAAAGCCACGTAAACTTTTTCAGTGGTGTGTATGTTTAAAAGGACCTACTAAAGGAATTTGCTTACAAGTGGCATTTATGCAAAATCTCAGTCTGAATTATGCAAGTTAACCTATTTTTTTCTCTGAAGACTGAGAAACTTTTAGGTTTTAGGTATTTACATGTTATTCACTGGATTTTTGTGGGAGTTGGTCACCTTTCCAATGATCACTGTTCTTGAATACATGTCATTACAAAGTAGTATAAGGTCTGGGCAAAGGAACCATTCTAGTTGTCAGGTGGAGCTTTGAAGAGGAACAGGAACTTGATAGGCAAATTTAAAAAAAAAAAAGTACGTGTTCTGTGAACAAGTTTTCCCATGATAGCATTGCTCCCAACCTCTTATATTTGAATGCCTTGAAAATAAAGTGAAATTGCTTGCTTTTTTTTTTCTCTTTAGTCCCTTCCATCAAAATGGATAGGCATGTAGTCAGTGCTAACCATGTGATCAGTTCCATTTTGCTTCATTAAAATCACTGGAAAGTGTTTTCAGTGGAAAAGATTTGTCAGATTGCATTTTCACAATCAACAGAAGTTACCTAATCATTGGAAAGACTAGACTTAAATGAATCCAATTGTAGAGAATAGAAAGAATACAAACTGACCTATCCTATAAAATCCTGAACAGTAAATTGCGTCTTCTTCTCAGGAGACAGATTTTTGCAGTAGGTATCATCATCTAAGACATGAGATACTTAGTGGAGTTTTTCCTTAAATATTTCTTAATACCGTTGTGAAGCTAATTATTAACTTACTGCATGCATTTATTTTGTGTTGCTTAAATAAGCATAGAAGATTGGCACACAGAATGAAATGCTTCTTTTTAAAAAGGTAGTGTCTACATTTTTATGGCTTAAGTAGAATCTGCCTTCATTGCATTACCAATAAGTGGTGTAATTAATTTTCATTAATTACTGTTTTACTGTGTGATAGAAGCATCTGAAAACTAACATGTGAACTGTCACTCCGGATTGCTGTTCAGCAATGTATTGAGAAGACAGTGTGTGTTCTGAAAAGCTTCAACATGAGGAGATGTGACTACACAGAATTAAAACAATAACCTGGGTTTCTGAGACAGTGCAAGGGTAAAGTTGAGACCAGAACCTACATGTTCTTCCTGCAGTTCAATTTATTTGCACGTAGTCCTGCTAAGTAAATTGCCATCTCTTTTCTATGGGTTTTTCCCTTTTGTACTTTCAAAGGACACTTTCATGACCAAATCTCCTTATGCTTTGACCAAGAATCATTTGCTTACTACTTTTTTATTTGTTTTCCTATTTTTACCCCATTTTCCTCCCTCCTCCAAGACAGTGTGGAAGAGGAGTTTCTGTTTATAGAATCTGCAGCAGGATAGCTTTGTTGTGTATTTGTGAAGTATAAGGGCCTTGGAAGAGAGAACTTCTTTTCTATCGTTGTATGTGACCAGTACTGCATTTGTTAGTAAGTAGAAAATATCTTCTGTAACTTTTTTCAATATTTTTTATTAAATTTATATTCGAGAATTTTGAGTTCAGACTTCAGCTTTGCTACTCCCCTAAAGATTTAAAACCAGTAGACAGTTGGGCTTGCACAGGGACAAAGGGTGTAACTTGGTACTGCAGAGCTGGAAGGATACTGTGCCAGGATTTACCAACTTGTTCAGTCAGTTCTCAGGCATTATCAGCAGAAGGAGCTGATCAAACTTACTTACAAAATGTTATGGGCTAAAAGGAGGAGTAGAGCAAGTTTTTGCTAGAGGTCTTTTTCAGGGATGCATCTGTGTATTTTTGCAGATGCTGTTAGTTTCCTGTGTAATATTCTTTAGGGGAGGGCCAGGCCGTCAGGGCCAAGATTTCTGTTTGAACCAGTTGTTTTTCTGTCCTAAAGGGCTGTAAATGCTGACAAATGGGGGGTACAGGGGATGTTTGTTTGTTTGTGGAGCTGGTTGGTTTACATTTAGATTGATGTTAGGAACATACCTTTTGCTCCTGTGAAATGACATGGCTGTGAGATTAATATGTAAAAGTTATTAATGAGTGCGATTAATATGTATTTTTTCAAGAAAGTATCATCCCAGGATGCGTTTTAAAAACGCATTGCGGTTTTCTTCTTCCGCCTCATGTTTGATTAATGTTTATGAATAAGTACCCAAATCAGAAACTAGATTGAGTCTTTAATGGTGCAGGCATTGATAAAAATAAATTTTTGACTACTGAGCTGCAGCAATAACTAAAGGGATGCTCTACAGACATTCATAAGAACTGAGTCTGACAGCAAGCCACTCAGCCAAGAAATTTGACTGTCATCTTCGCCTCCTTACACACATTCACATGGGTGACCAGTAAATAAATGTGTCTTTTTCTTACTGACTCCTGGTAAGTCCCTTTCTGTCAGATTGTGTTGTAGAAGTGAGATGGAGCCTATTACGTTCAGCAACACAAATTGAAATAATTAGATGATTTATTACTTTTTGCCCATATGTGACTCTGAGACGCTGTGGTTTGTTACTCTAGTATGGCATATATAAACTTACCTATTGCCAAGTAATGGCTTCACTGTATTGAAAGCCTCTAATGTCTCCCTAATCTGCCAGTGTGATACGTTGATGAATTTCCTTAAAGTTAATTCCATTACAGAGAAGACAACATTTTTTTTTTAAAAGGGATATCAGCTTTATGTCATTGAATTGTTATTTGTAATGATGAACCTCTTAGAAATGAATTTTTTAAATACATAGCTTAACTAAACATTGTTAAGATTAAATTGATGCCACGCTCTCTTCATTACTGTTTCTTCTGGAGTTCATAATTCAAAGTAGCAATTGGTCAGGAAAGTTAGTCAGAGTTTATTCAGATTTAGTATATATACCAAAACTGTTACTGTTATTTTAGCAATTATTTTGTAGCACTTCTCCATAAATAAAAAATACTTAACTGTTGAGTAATCTTCTGCTCGTTACTGTAAAATGTGAAGGCTGTCAACTAGGAATATAAGGTTTGATATTTCTTAAGCTTTTGGTAGTGACAGGTACTGGATTTGTCTTGAATGTCATATTAATTTGTATGGCTTTCACAACATAGGGGTTTGGGTTTTTTTGACCCTCTGTTTGGAAGGCTCATATAAGCCTGGGTGTGCTGCTAAGAAAATAACTACAGGAACAGAGTAACCAACTCACAGGCAGACTGAGAGGTTTTTCAACTCTTCCTTCAGAAGCAGTGATGAGATATGTGAGCTAAAATAGTGTATGCAAGTGGCTCACACAGAAATGTGATTTTGCTTTAACTGTGGTGCATTATTTTCTATTACTAAGAGCAGTACTTAGTAAGCTATTTGTAATAAGCTTTGTAATAGTGCTTAAAGGTCCTCTCCACGTGCTAGAATGTCATTGTAATGGGCACTGTGTGGAGGCAGTAAAAGACTTCCTGACACACTCATTAGGGTAAATACACAAGATGTGAGAACGGTGGAGGAGTAAAAAGAAGCAGTGAGACAGTATTAACCAGCAGGACAGGTGGTGGATTTAGCAGAAAAGAGGTCTAACCTTTGATTTTACCTTTATTGAAGGCTGTCCTTCCAGGTGTTACTTACAGCACATTTTCTACAGTTACCAAGTTCAGCAATAAAATTCATTAATTTTCATATCTGTGAACTGCTTATAAACTCCTTCAGAAATTTAGTCTCCCACTTAAATTGGCAGCAGCAGCTTGAAATACCTGAAACACTTGAAAACTAAGGTGGGAAGTCCACATAAAATGACACATCATCTCTCCTATGCAAGAGTTAATCATAATTTCATTACTAATTGTTACAGACAAAAATGCCAAAACAAAAGGTCTTTATGTAATGCAGATTAGTTTTTTAGCTATGGAATGAGTAGAATTTTCTTGTAGGAAAAAAAAAATGTTACATAGTCTTTGGACTTTAATCGTGCTGGGAAGTTTAGCACTTCTAAATTCATATGTGGTACCCAAGGTACCTTCCCAGGGCATGTGGGTGCATCTGTTACTTCCCAAACCAAGCTCTCAGCTCTGGCATGCTCATTTCCTTACAATTTGACTGCGCGCTTTATGTCTTCATGCGAGAATTTGACTTGCATGCCTTAACTTTTGTCTGGTTTTCCTCACTTTTCACAATAGATCTCAGCTCCAAAGGTAGGGTTAGAAGCTATTTGATTAATTTTATTCCTTCAAGACACTGGGACAATAATCCACATCATTCACTTCAGGAACCCTGCCTCAGCCATCTGTTGAAATACTTAGGTCAGAGTGCAGATAAATCCACAAAGGTCAGGAGCAAAGTAGTGTTTCATTGGTTTGCAGCTTCGCTATCTGCCCATGTTAAGACTCTTACAAGCGCTAAAAGACACTTACTTGAGGGCTTCTTAGTGTCTACATACATGCAGGAGTGAATTGGTTTTGGAATTTCTGCTGTAGAAGGTTAAAAACCCTCCAAGGTCCTTCTCTGTCTTGGGTGAAGAAAAATTCCATTGCATTCCCTGCATCTGACACACCATTTCAGTAGTAATAAAGTTATACAATGTAGCTTGCTTTATTTCTAGAAATGCCATCATTGTACTTTCATAGTTAATACTACTATGGTGTGATGTTGGTAACGTTTTTCCTGTACTAAGCAGAATCACGAACATTTGAGAAACAAAAACAGTGGGGGTTTTGTGCCATGTGCTAAAGAACAGACATTTGAGTGCTGAACATTCACCTTCATCTAAGTTTCTAGTAACGAGAAATGTTTGGGCAATGAGATTGCATTGACTTTAAACAAACCTTGTTTTCCATTCTAAAGAGTTTCACACATTCGTGAGAATAAATCATAATCCTTTCTTGGAACTGTTGTCCCAGGAAAAATGCAGCAAAAATGTAAACCATGTGGAGTACTGGAAGAAGATACCACTTAAACTAATGCATAAGATGTTAGTTGCTCTTAACTGTAACTTACTGTTTGTTTGTATTTTTGATGAAGAAGTACAAAAGAAGTAGAAAAGTATTGTTAAGCCACAAGTGCAGATTTTGAAGCTAGGTTGAAGTTAGACTGGTTACAGTAAAATTTTGTGCTTTGGCATACATAGGTGTGTATACTAAGTGTCGTATTTAACTTCTGGGGAAAAATACAGCAGTTTTGAGTGGGAACATGGAATTTCTTAATGACTAAGTGAGGTACAGTGTTTTAGCTTGGGAGATGGGCTCTTGAGTGGGAATTTAAGGAAAGCTTTTAAGTGGAATGCAGAAGCTAAATAAATAAGTGGGGACATACATGCCTTGTTTCTAGTATTGCAGAGAAAAAATGGCACAAAATGTTCTTCTTTATGTAACTTATGGTGAGAGTAAGGATGGCTTATTTCTTTTATCATTTTGTTTTTCAGTTGACTTTAAGCCTCATGCCAGCATGGACACTGTCCATCACATGTTACTTTTTGGATGTAATGAACCCTCTTCTACTGAAAATTACTGGTAAGAGTTGCAACTTGGTTTTGTTACTGTACCCAACTTTTCTTGTGTTAATTGCTTCCACATAAACTTTTTCCAGTGTTGCAATTTCTTGGAAAAGTAGACAAATATGGACGGAAGAAGAAATGTATAACATTCCAGTCTTCTTTAAACACTTAGTGTTTAATTTTTTTAGCTAACTCCTCTGTAATGTGGAGAAAAAGGTCTGTTTTCTGATTCTTTGAGTCCAATTGGCTGTCCCTGAGAAGGAGCCAGAAGCTATAGTGGGCAAGGTGCCATTGGATACCAAGAAATGTAGGCCTCCTCTATAACTGGCTGCTTTTCTGTATATGAAGAAGTATTGTATCAGGTGTCCAGAAGGAAACTGAGTGAAGGGTAAGCCGAAGAAGATACTCTCAGTCAAGTGGCTTGGTACTTGACTCATCCGTCAAAATGCTTAAGCAGTGAGGGCAGAGGGAAGCTCTCAATGCCTCTAAAACAGGTGAAGGGAGCCAAAGTGAAGAGAATGTGAAGGTAAATGGAAATTAATGGTCTGTCCAGTAATTTTGCAAGTTTTCTCCAGGTTTTCGAGAGAGAGCAGATAAAGTAGTTTTGCTGACACTTGCAAAGCTTATATGACTTACTCTGATCTCTGGAAGAATTCTAATGTAGATTTTCTGGCAGCACTGTGTAATCACAATTTATCTTTTAAGTATTTACCAAAAAGGTAACTAGAGCTGGAATTTAAAGCTAATAGTATAATATAATGTATTTTCCAGAAAAAGATATCAATTTACCATTTCTAATAATCTTTGCATATTTTGGGGAGGCGATTTATTTAATATTTTGAACATACATCAAACTTTCATCAAAAGTTTATCTCCCTTCTACCTATCAACCAACAGTTCTAATATTGAAAACTTTGTAATCTTGTTTTGCAAGAAAAGCAGATGCTTAAGAAGTTCAGACAAAAATAAAACTATGAAAGCACAGAATTTCTATTGACTTCCTTTCCCAGCAGACAGCTTTTCTGTGTTCTTTTTATTGTATCTTATATGTTAGAATATACTTTTTGAATAGTTTAGTGTGAAAAATACACCAACATAATACTGTTCCCATTGTGGCCTTTAACACGAGTTTACATCTTGAGTGTCCTATTTAAAACTGAGGAGATTGCACTTGTAGTTTGTTTTGTTTTCATATGTCTGGAAGCAGGTTTGTTAGAGCCTTGGAATAATCTGTACATGATAAAATTATATTGTAATAGATTGATCAGGTGCTTGTGTTGAGATGAAGTCATGTGGTGATGCCTAAGTCACATGTAGCTGATGTTCTGAAAATGTAGGTGAAGTGTTTAGTTCCTGACCTTCCAGCCACGGAGAGATGGATCAAGAGCTGGAAAGTCATAAAGCTCTTCAAAGCTGAACCAGACTCAAATCATAGATTTGAGACTAGGCTTCAGGTAGTTCCAGCTCCCTAGCTGTATCATCACTCTTCCCAAAGAAAATTGCCTGGCACAAAACTCACCAGTAGCAGCCCATGCAGTGTAGCAGCTAATGTTCCTTTTGTTCTTGATTGCTGTACGTAATAGCTACCTGTCAAATGATGAAACACGTAATTAGTGTTTTATTTAAATCTGGTATTTCCAATTTTTCATATGCAGGTTTTGATGAAATCTTGGTATTTTTTGTGTGTCGTTTCTGAGGTGTAGCATTTGATTTACATACTGAAAACAAAAACTCTTCATTCAGTGTCTCATTTCACATTCCTGTTGTTGCAACATTTCATCTTGCTTGGCCCGCGGCTATCTGCAAGGCTAAAAAGACAATCACGTCTGTTCTACATAAAACAGGCTTTAGACATCTGCATTTATTGCCTGTTTGACACACTGACGTAAGCTTGTATAAATACCTGTTTGCTATATAGCCGTGTGTGTATTTAATTAATGTAGTATGTATGTGTATAGACATACACGTGTGTGTATACATCTATGTGTGTATACCTGCAAATGTCTATGTTGTAAATATATTCCTTTAAATGTTCAGATGTAGAAGCTGTTGCACATTTTTGTAATTCATTCCAGAGAGTATGTATAATTTGAAAATTATACATACTGCTAGTTTAAATTCACTAGAGGCTTCCAACCACTAGAACCAATTTTATTAAAGTAATTCTGATGACTGTATATTAATGATAAGACGTCTTTGTTATTTTTCATTTTGTTTTGTTATTTGTTATTCTTTTTGTTACATGAAAGATGACTTCACTTGTTCTTCCGTCTACTAGGGGAAAGAATGGTTGGTTGAGAACTGATATTTGAGGGTACACCACTATAAGACTTGTTTAGCAAGGATCCTCCCCTTACTGTTTACATGATCAACATTTTTACATAGTCAGTTTTTATTAAATTAAGGCATACCACACTGATTTGTTCTCTTTATTGTAGTTTCTTCAAAATTCTGGGCAACATTAGTCAGATGGTTTGTAATCAGTTGTGAAAACATAAAAATATATCAAGTCCAGAGGTGTTTTTTATACCATCATGATGTGGACTAGGTGTATTATGGAAAAATAGACCTTTAGGAGCATTCAGAATGCAAGGACAAAATTCATTCCGCTGAGGCAGGAAGTTTTATTCAGGCCGGTTTTGATTGTGGAGGAATGGGAGAGGGGAAGATACAGCATCCAAATAACTATTGGAATTAGCTTCCCTGTGGACATAGCAGCGCTGAGCCAAAATCTGTGACTCTGGCCTGTTGACTTTTCTCGTGATTTGATGCTATTAATGCAAATGCCCCGGGCCTTCTGAAAGGCAGTCTAACGGCGTGGGACCTGCGTTGGCGTTGCACTCAGACACGTTCACTGCAGTATGGTAGACTCTTTATCTGAACAAATGCTACAGGGGTGCACAGGTATTTCTCCCTTCTTGAAATACCCAGGACTTTCCACAGAAACAAAGTAGGCTCCCAGGACTCACTTGCTCAGGTTTTGCTCCGTGCACCAGAAAAAGGTGTAGTTGCTTCTGTTTGTTGATCATAGTGAGCCCTTAAAACAGTTCAGCTGCTATGACAAGAAGTTTTGCCTGAGCTGATAAACTGTCCTGAAATAGAAGTAGCACGCCTGAGCCGATTAATCAGAAGTTCAGATTCTTCATAGATAATCAAGAATACATTTGAATGATTTAAAAGAAAATGTTGAATTATTCAGAACTGCTGAGTCTCCTGGCAAGACAAGTCTTGTGCTGCATCAAACCTAACACTGCAGTGAGCTCCCATGAATGAGATAATTCATAAACATAGCCTTTATTTAGAGATCAGGTGGGACAACTTCAAAAAATTATCTAATCTAAACAAATGCATAAGTACAGGTCATAGATCATTACCCAGTAATTCCTCTGTCAGACTAGCTCTTTCCGTTGGCAGGAGAGCATGGTTTTGGAAGCTTTTGACATCAATTCAGTAAAGGTTGCAAAAGATGTCAAGACTGGTTCAGTGAAATACTTGTATTTCACTGCTTAGGGTAGAGTGGGTACAGTATAAAGATTTATATGTAGTGTAGTTTCTTACCATCATCACTGCCTTAGAATGTTCCTCACCATTCACCTCAAGAACTAAAAATAATCATTTTTCTTACTCAATCACCTCAATTACCTTTCTTACAAGTCTTGGTTAGAATCAGGAAGTAGAGTACAATATAGAAAGACATTGAAAAGTTGTTTGTTTTCCTAAACAATGCAAATATCCTAAAAGGATAGCCAAATACTGGTCTTGCTGGCATAGTGAAGTATTTTGCTTTCAGTCTAGGTAATCAGTCAAAACCCCAGTGCCATTAAAAAAAACGGCTCCTGAGCTTACCTGGGATTTAGGAGAATTCATTTGGAAAGTCCAGGAGAGTTTTCAAAAAACAAAGACCTGAGAAGCAGTCAGTAAGCTCTATTTCCATGCTATCTTAGTCCCTCCCCCCAAATTCTGACCACAGTCAACATTACTTGTTAGTACAATACTGTATAGAATGCAGTTATAGTCCATTTTTAAGGTATTCGGTGCTACGCATTCTGTTCAGGATCTCATGATTTTTTTCATGTAAAGAAGCTATGAAATTCAGTGATTGGTTAAAATTTTTTATTTGTTTGTGAATTTATACTTTTTACCTAGCTTCCTGCTTTTAAATCTGTTCATCAGTTTTCTTAACTCTTCTTAGTAATCTCCTCTGGGTTTGTTTTTTTCTGAAAACTTGATGTTTCAAGATCAATATTGATGGGTAAATGAGAGGGTTAACCATTTTTTAAACATAATGAAAGAGCAATTTGTGTATTTTATCTTTTTCTCCTGCAGTCTTCCCCCCTCCATCAGACAGTGTCTCAAGAGGAAAGTTTGGAACAGCCTATGTAGTATTTTTTTACCAGGCTAATGTGGTCCTAAAAACCACTGTATAAACGAAGGGTAGCTGGCCCAGAGTGTGGTGGTGAAGTTGCAACTGTGCTTTTGGTTTTTGCTGATGTTCCTTCTAACCAACCTCTTCAACACATTTCCAGATGGTTCAGTTCAATGCCTGGTTAGATCCCTGAAGTATTTTTGGGTTTTTTTAGATTGTAGCAACTGAGACCTGTGCAGTTTTTACCTACAGCTGTATGAATCATTAGTCTTGAAATATTTCATTTATCCTGAAATAAGTTTTGCTTGTCCATTTGGATCACATTTGAAGGTGAATATGACCAAGCTAGTAGTTGTGCGGGTCCAGAAATATGTTATGAGCAAAATTAATGGATAGGAAGAAGTGGCATGTTCCCTTTTCTCTTGGTGGTCTGATGATATGGAAATGCTTTCTGTCAGAAGAAAACACAGCAGCTATGTTGCAGCAAGGCTGTATGGGATCACAGAAACACATAATGTCCCACTGAGGTGGTTTTCCCTATGCACCAGGAAGAACTGGGAGAGCAGCCTGGAAAGCATCATTGTAATTTGTTCTGAGAGGTGCCACATATGGCTCAGCCATCCTCAACAGAAACATCACTGAGCATGCATACACTAAAAGTCCTGCTCTTTTGTGCTTTTTTTATATTCTTCCTCACGCTGTGTGAGACTCTATTTTCACCAGTATTTAAGGTGTCTGAAACCGTGCTTCATGTGCCTAAACCTTTTCCCAGGTCTCATTTAATATTAAACATTATTAATTATATTATAATAAACAGAGAAGGGGCTGGACCGTTTTGTTTTGGATGGACACCTTGGCATAGGTATCAACCTTCATTACATCTGGCTTGGATCAGTTGATGTAGTCTGAATAGTTTCAGGTTGAGGCTTTCTAAAAGTCATACCTGTGCATGCTGCACCTGTGGAATGACTTCTACACTCTGTGCTCAGTGCTGTGATGCTTTGTCACTGACGAAGGTAGAAATACACTGTTTTCCCTAACAGGACTGAGAAGTGGCTTCTAGGTGGGTTGGAAAGCCCCTCGGTGTGCCTTGTTTATCTGTGTATATCATCCTGTAGTCTACACCCACATGTAGCAGTCAGCACCCTCTGGGATGTAGTCCAGCTACGTTGTGCTGTCCATACAACTGTGTCTAGCCTTTTACAGATTTGGTAGTATCTGTGCCCTGAATTTATCAGTTCTTGCAGATTCAAGGTATCTTGCGCTTAACAGTCCTTGGGAGTCTTTCGAACTCCAGCCTTACTGTCACCTGCAAGGCGTTAGCTGCAGAGGCTAGGGATAACTCTAGATCCCTCAGTTACAGTATTTTTGACCTCTCTGTGTTCTGTAACTTGGCAATCACTTCTTTTTTTCTTTTTTTTTTCTTAGTTTTTATTTTTTGTGTGTGTGTGATTTTTCTGTTTATGAAAAACAAGAAATTGTGCAGTGGAATAAAAATTAGCTTGAAGTAGTGAGCTTCCATTAAGTACAGAGACGAGCATGAGTGCCTCCTACCAGGTGGTTCATATACAGCTTCCTGTCACCATTTTTTGTCAATGATTTTTAAATTAATTTTAAATATAAATTTTGACTTAAAGCTTTAATGTCTTGTGGGTTTTTTTTCCTGCTTTGCATACAAGTCCTTTCCCTCTGTGTAAATGTGTCTGCCATAACCATTTTGTGGCACTTGAGCTAATAGTGATAGAAACTTTCATATGGTTCATTCTCACAAAAGGTTCCTTTATTTTTTTTTCATCGCTTGACAGGGACTATCGGAACTATCTATGGTTTTGACCCTGTTTGCCTAACACTATCTTAAGGCAAAAGGGGGAAAAAAACCCAGAAGATGGAGGATCTAATGATATGCAGGAAAGCAGTCTATGTTAAAGAAACCGTGTTTCATCAAAACACATCCAAAAACGTCTTCATAGCTCTTAAAATCAGTGGTTTTGCATGTAATTCACCTGCCCTTTTCTTATTTCAAAGTTAAAAAATTATATTCCATTTTGTTTTCTTTCCTTATATTTTTAGGGACTGTGATGAAGGAACATGCAAAGACAAATCTAACATTTTGTATGCTTGGGCAAGAAATGCTCCACCCACCAGGCTGCCCAAAGGTATTGTGCCTTTAATGTGAAGTTCTTGTGTACAGGGGAAAGGGAGAGAACGGGATGTAGAAGTAAGCACCTGGCATATCTAGGAACCTCCTGTAATATTTTGACTATGTCTAGTTGATAGAAGCTTTATAAACAACAACCTCATAAACTATGAATATATTATGTGAGCTACTATACATGGGGTTTTTTGTCATCCTGTTTACTATAACATTATGAGTTTCAGTAGGGGAAAAAAAGGCTAAGGGAGAGATAACAGTCATAATGCTTTATTTTTATATAGCATTAATCTTGCATTTCCTACTATATGTTATTGGAAGGGTACTATTTATATATCTTTCAGTACCGCACAAACTGCATTAAAATATTTTTTTGTGTTTGAGAAAGCACAAACAAGTTCAATCTAAACGTAGAATTTTTTGTCTCTTAAATATACTTGACAAATTTATGTGCTTTTCATTTCTTGATGCTTTGATGTGGTTGAGCAACATGTTTATATACCCATTTTTTTGTATGATAAATGAGTTTGCTGAATTCAATCAACATTTTTAAAGCTACTTGGAGTGATATGCCTGGAAGACAGGGAGAAATGGTTCTTTCTAATAACCACTAAGGGTCTTAGAAATATCTAGCATCCATATAGCCTCAGTCTGAGAATATCTTGAATTGTAAAATTTTTTTCTTTTATCTTATGCTGCCTTTTTTCAAAACTGGGAGCAATGCACAGTATCATGAAAAGGCTTATTTTTAATAATCCCTTTATACACTTATCAGCTTGAATGTTATTTGATTTGGTTATCAGAATGTCAAGTTAAAAAAAATGTTGCTTGGAGGATTCTATGGAAGCCTGGTATTTGCTTTGCTGTTAAACTCCAGCTAGTAATAATTTTCTTGTCTCTAAGCTGTCCATAAATACAAGGGGGTGGGGGGAGGGGTGGTCACAATGCTATTACATTTGTGCACAGAGAGGCTACAGTCCCATTTTTATAAGTAGGCTTTGCTGTGGTCGGTGTTTAATGTAGTGGAATTCACTGGCCAAATATGAAGAAATTGCTTTCTCTGCTTCTTTTGAAGAGTGTTTGTAGAATCGGTTTAGAGAAATCCCTTTTGGTGATAGTAATATTTTGCAATTCCATTATTTCAAATTATTTTAAATTCCTCTGTTTTCTTTTGTGCCTGTGCTTATTTCTATCAACAAATAACATAGCTTCATAATTTCCACAAGATTTTTTCTGCACACAAGATTAATTTACGTCACAAAATATTTTACTGGAGAACTTTTTATCCTTTCATTCTCAGTGTGTTCTTAGTAAGTCAGTGTTAGTCAGTTTGTGTTATTCACACGTTGTATCAGAAATGAAAGTTCTACCAAGTCCTACAAGGATGTCAACATGTGGGTTTTTTTTAAGTTGTGTGTGTATATACATCTATCTCAAATCTATATTCGTATTCTTGGATTGAGAGAATGCCTTGCCTAAGTTCATGAATAACTAAGTTATGGTCCTAGCTTCTTAGTCTGTTTGGAAACTTGTGTTGTGATGGTGGTTTTCCCAGTTTTCAGGACAATGTTTTCTTGGTGTCTCAGTGAAATTTTCTACCCCTGCACTCTAAGCCATTACATTGATCTGTATTTTTAGATGTGGTCAGCAGTGGTGAACCATCTTATATTTTATTGTTTCTGAAAACAGTGCGTTTTCCTTCTCTTAGGTGTTGGATTCAGAGTTGGAGGAGAAACAGGTGGCAGATTTTTTGTGCTCCAGGTACATTATGGGGATATTAGTGCATTTAGAGGTACGTATTTTGGAAACTTGTTCTGCAAGTTATATCAATTACAGCATCAAAGATATTTACGTTATCATATTACATCTGGTCCATTCCCCCTGCTCAAGCAGTGCCACTTACAGCCAGTTGCCCAGGACCATGTCCAGGTGGCTTTTGATTATCTCCAAGGATGGAGAGTCCACAACCTCTCTGGGCAACCTGTGCCAGCACTCGGTCACCTTCACAGTGAGAAAGTGTTTCCTGATGTTCAGTTTCAGTTTGCGCCCATTGCCTCTGGTCCTGTCACTGGGCATCACTGAAAAAAGCCTGGCTCCGCTCTCTTTGCACCCTCCCTTCAGGTATTTTTGTACGTGGATAAGATCCCCCCCCAAATCCTTCTCTTCTCCAGGCTGAACAGTTCTATCTCTTTCAGCCTTTTCTCAGAGATTTCCAGTCCTTTCATCATCTTTGTGGCCCTTCATTGAACTCTCTCCAGTATGTTCATATCTCTCTTGTATGGGAAGCCCAGCACTGGCCACAGTATTCCAGGTGTGGCCTCACCAGTGCTGAGTAGAGGGGAAGGATCATCTCCCTTGACTTGCTGACAATACTTTGGCTAATGCAGCCAAGAATACCGTTAGCCTTCTTTGCAGCAAGGGCGCATGGCTGGCTCATGTTCAATTTGCCGTCTGGGAGGCCCCCCCCAAGGCCTTGTCTGCCAAGCTGCTTTCCAGCTGGGTGTCCCCCAGCATGTACTGGTGGCTGGGGTTGTTCCTCCCCAGGTACAGGACTTTGCACTTCCTTCCCCTTGTTGAATTTCATGAGGTTTCTGTCAGCCCATTTCTCCAGCCTCTTGAGGTTCGTCTGGATGGCAGCATGACTCTGGCCTATCAGCCCCTCCTCCCGGTTTGGTGTCATCAGTAAACTTGCTGAGAGTGCACTCTACCCCATCATACAGCTCAATAATGAAGATGTTGAACAGAACTGCACCTAATATTGAACACTGGGTTACGCTGCTAGTTACTGTCCTCCAACTAGACTTTGCACGACTGATCACCACTCTCTGGGCCCAACCATTCAGCCAGTTTTAAATCCACCTCAACCGTTTGCTCATCCAGCCCATACATTATAAGCCTGGATTAATGAAATAGCTCAATATTTGAGCTATGCTCCTGGCCTCTGAATCCTTCTGTGGTGCGATGGTAAATGATCCCCAGGCTGTACTTGGTTTTGAACAAAGTTACCCTGTAGCTGGCAGGTTCCCATGCCATGCAGCCTCTCTTCTGTACACCTCTGGTAAGGTTTGGGCCATACTCACCTATATTTTACAGCAGCGCTGTCTTAAGTTGAAGGTATGGTTTCTGTCATGACACGAAGATAAGGTGTAGCATAATGGCAGTAATGCTAATCAAGGAGGAGGAGGAAGAAGGAATAAACTGAGTATGCCAGCCCTGTTTAAGTGGACCACATATGCAAATATTCACAACTGAAGTTGAAAGAATTGATTTTCATGAGACAGTTCAGATGGACCTGTATAGCCCATGAGATTCTTTGCCTGCTAAAATCAGGAATAATTAAAGTTACAAACGTCTAAAGAGAGCATATTAGTTGAGAGCCTGCTCTGTATTATTGCTTGGGGACAGTGAGAGTTCTCACTGTTCGTTTTCACTCTTAAGTATAATTGATGTGTATGCAGTTATTTAAAAAAAAAAAAAAAAAGAAACAAATGAGATCCGTAACCTCCATTGCACATTAGTTGAGCATTTGTTTGGAAATTTTTATTAGTAAATTAAAGTGATAGTCAGATTCTACTCAAAAAAAAAAACCCATTGCCCACTTAGAGACACTATACTTAAATAAGTTAGCACCTGAAGTTAAAACTTAATTTTACACCTGCACCCCCCCTGCAGGGGGCTTCCTTATTTTTTGCCTAGAATATGTGTGCAGGACTTAGAATAAACAATGTCATAGATACAAGTCTGCAAAATTATGAAAGTTTAAGAAGTGTCTACTGGTAGGACTATAATTTAGGAGATGATTCTAGTCTCATGTACCGTTTCAGCAGTTAAAGAGTATGACAGAATGCCCTCTGTTTTATTTCAGTACCTTTTACTTGGCAGCCTGATGTCTTATTTTTAAAGGGAAAAATTATCTACCTTTTCTGCCATTTTTGTAAGAAAATATGTTTTTAATGAGGTCTGCCTGTGAAAATTCCAGTAGGGAAAAATATAGTTTAAATCTCCTAATAATTTGAATGTCCTAAACCTTGATTGTGGTATTCAAGGATATCCAATATGTAACCTTTGACTAGTTTTACAGGTATATTTAAACTTCAGGAATGACCTAAAAGAAGGTTTTTTTATATGAATGAGACGTCTGTTGATAACTGTAGCTTGTCAAATTATAAGAGTATAGTAATAACAGTATGTGTGTAAGCACATGCAGTTGCTGCAACTCAGAATAGAGGACAAATGGTGAAATATACTCAGTTACATCATTGTGCTTTCAGTAGCCCATCAAAGATTCAGAAGCACTGTTCAGAGTTTAATTTTCTGACTTACAAGTCATTGCAAATATAAAGTATTTGGATTGAGGCAGTAATTATTTGTGTATTAGCACCCAATTCTACTTCCTATCAATTTGGGGGGAAATATGGCATAGTTAAAATGTATCTACTCTCATTTTCCACTATTTGTAAAAAGGATATTTCTTCATTTCATTAACCAATTATTAAACTAATTATGCTTTCCCTCCCTCCTTAGCTATAATCCAGAGCTAAGTATTCATATTTAGATAAGCACTTTATGCTCAGATATCAAAATAAAGCTTATTATATGTTGTCTAAAATACACATAATTAAAAAATAAGCTGGAAAACCAAAAGTAAATTCTACAAAAATATGGGGGGAATATGGAAAGAGCCATCTTAGAAAAATAATAATGGCTCTATTTGACTTTCACTTTTTCACTTTTTTTTTTTTCACTTTTTATATTGCAAAAAGCAAAAATTGTTTTGCTTTGGAGTTATGGTTGGTAGTAGATACTGTGATGTAGCAAGTAAAAAGTTGACAGAAATCTGTCTGTCTTTTTTTATATATTTGTAAGTGTTCAGTGTTCAGATTCAAATAAAAGTAAATCTAGCCAACTTTAGATCTATAAAGGCTCCCAGTCAACTTTCAGTTAGGGGTGTAGGGATATTCAGTGCAGTTGTCAGACTGTTCTTGATTTATTCTTCCATATAAGTGCCTTCAGATCTGATTTTAAAAAATGTGGGTTTTTTTTCCAATACCTAGAATTTGTTATTCTTGCCCTCCCTTTAATAAATGTCCTGGTTTCAGCCAGGATAGAGTTGATTTTCTTCCTAGTAGCTGGCATAGTGCTGTGTCTTGGATTTAGTACTAGAAGAATGTTGGTAACACAGTGATGTTTTGGTTGTTGCTGGGTAGTGCTTAGACTGGCCAAGGACTTCTCACCTCTCAGCTCTGCCAGGGGCACAAGAAGCTGGGAGGGGGCACAGCAGGGACAGCTGACCCAAACTGGCTAAAGGGCTGTTCCAGACCATAGGACGTCATGCTCGGTATATAAGCTGGGGGAAGAAGAAGGAAGGGGGGAACATTCGGAATGATGTCGTCTGTCTCCCCAAGTAACCGTTACGCGTGATGGAGCCCTGCTTCCCTGGGGATGGCTGAGCACCTGCCTGCCCATGGGAAGTGGGGAATGAATTCCTTGCTTTGCTTTGCTTGCATGCGCGGCTTTTGCTTTCCCTATTAAACTGCCTTTATCTCAACCCATGAGCTTTCTCAGTTTTACTCTTCTGATTCTCTCCCCCATCCCATTGTGGGGGGAGTGAGCGAGGGGCTGCATGGTGCTTAGCTGCCAGCCTGGGTTGAACCACGACATAAAGAATAATGTTGTTTCTAACCCACCATACTATTATCTTAGTCCTTTCGAGCACGTGTGAGAATATAGATACTATTCCCAAGAGTCAAAGTAATTAAAAGTTACTGATAATCTTTTTTAACTCATTCTGTATGAAAGGTAATCAAATTCTGTCATTTTCTATGTGTGTAACTGCTACACGGTTTGACGCAATTAATTTTTGGAGCAAATTAATTTGCTTGGAGCAAACTTTTGGGGAATTCTTTAGTTTATGTTCAACTTTGGCTCTTTTCTCATTACCTTTCTTGTTCCCTCTTTTTTTTACACAAGGCACACATAATTATTTGTGTTCTTATCTCCTCCTAACCCCCGCTTCTTCACTGAGAATAGATTTATTTCTTCCTGCTATCATTCCCTACAGGTATTATGTTACCCACATTACATACAGTATCACAGGTGTACCTGCTTTTGCGAGGGGGTGTGGGGTTCTTAGTGTAGGGGTTTAGGGTTGGGGGGGTTTTTTTGGGTTGGGGAGAGTAATTAATTTTAGCCACTAAAGTGGTAAATGTCCTAAAAACAAATGTTTTCTTCATAAGCATGTGACTTGTAAGCTGTCATTTGAGTTCTAGTCTTATTTGAATACTGGATTTGGCATGCTTCTCTTTGATAACCAGAAGGCTTAACATCGGTGTCTTGAATAAAATTAATTTTGCATATTCCCAGATATTCGTATCTATGATACGTTATGATATCCTTTCAGCAAATCTATCATCTATGACCTTTACAAGGTATTTATTTGTTAAAAAATTTATACTGGACCAGGATCAACAATTGTTTGTCTCTTTTCTGTTTGGAAAGCAAATTGTGAAAATGGCACTGGGGACTCTGTGCTTGCATTTTGTTTTTCACAAACTGAATAAAGGTAGAGCTTAATTCTACATGTGACTAGACTTTTAAAAAGAATTTTGTTGAATTGATTTTGGGTGAGTGAACAGATGAGCAAGAGCAAGCACCTTGACTCTCATGAAAAAGACTTAATTCAGCTAGTGTTCTTTATGTATAAAATATTAGGTATCAATATTGAATGCAACGTATTGAATTTATCTCTTTCTTTACCAAGACTTCAAGTTCATTTTTGTGCTGCAAGTCTTTCTCTTTTTAAATACAGCTTGTGTGAAGTTACTTCCCAGGGGGCATTAGCTTTGCAATTGCCTTGCTCAGAGGTTGTGTTCCAGCTTTGAGGCTACTTCTTACCTTTAATGACACAAAGCCAATTCTGAGACCATATGTGGAGATTCTGGTACAAATCAAAGGGCTGACTTTGAAATAACAAGGGGTTTGGAGAGTCACAAAAAGCACCACTCGGTTACAGTGAAAGCTTTTAAGTATTCTAGTAGCCATGTATGAGTGCTATACTGTTCCTATTAAATATTAGAAATACAGCAAAGAAATGGAATAAATAGCTTGAACAGTGTTCTCTGTAATTTATAATCCATGTACCCAGAATGCAAAGAAAACAGGTTTTGAAAAGTGTTTATTTTTCTATGAGTGAAAAAAGAATTTTAAATATCTAGGAAGCCCTAGAAATCTCAACTTCTATGGCAAATTATCATATTTGTAACAGAAGAGTTGAGGATTGTAGGTCTGGGTAGACAGACTGGCAGGAAGCCTGTCAGACTCCCATTGGAAGTTTTATCAAGATCAGCCTGCAGAAAGAGAGCATTTCTGTTTAGGATAATTTGAGTTCTCCCCAGCTATGAGTGTTTCATTTGACAAACTGAGTATTTCTAGTATTTGAGATATTAACAGGAAAAGCATAGGTGATTCTTTTTAACTAATTTAAATGTTTATTGGCAGTTAAACTTTGAATTGCCATTACGAAGTTGTCATGTACAATTTTTAAAACAAATGATGTATTTAAAATCTGAAGCCAGTGTTAGGCTTTAATATGCACCATTGATTTTGTTTGACATAGGTAAATAAAAGCAGGTAATATTTAGTATGATTGTGTTATATTTGCACAACACGCAAAAGGCAGTTATAAGCACAGTTTCTTGTCCCATATGAGTTGGAAACTCTGCATGGACAATTGGCTTTGATTTAAGCCTGTTTCTGAGGTATATAAAAATGCATTTTCCAGTCTTTGCCACATGGCGAATAGTAACTAGTAACTGCTTTGTCCCAGAGCAGTGCATATTTGCTGAATAGCTGAAACGAAGAAATCAAAGTAGTTAGATAAGCTGGACAGATGGACTGGAAAGGAGACTTTAAGATTTTATTTGGTTTGTGCATTCTTTAAGGATATTTTTGCTTGGGTCACACAGCAAAGCTCAAAAAGGGTTTGCACCAGGAACCAGGTTGGCCTCACTGCAGTCAGCGTTCTTGCATGGAGGGTTCAACAGATTTCAGTGTTTAAAGGAGGAGAGCTGTAGGGAAGGAGAAGCAAGGAAATAGTGTTTACAGCATACCTCTGTAGTTGTTAGAAAAATATTTAGCGTAGGAATTCCTTAAAAGTCTAGAGCAATGTATCCATCCATTATTTTACTCTCAATGCAGAGCACTGCAGATCAGATTCTTGTGCCAGAAGTTGATTTATGTTTCTCCCAATACTGATTAATAGAATTGCCTTGTATAGTAGCATTAATAACTTTCCCTTTGTCCAGTTAATTTTTAAATTGCTTATTCTAGGTGAAAATACGGAATGAGATCTTTTTCAATACTCTGAAAATTTAAATAGTGTGACAACTCTTTAATATTGGCAAATTGAAAGATACTGGAGTAGTTTCCCTCGTTCTGATGCGCTATTTTTAAAAGAGACGCTATGACGTAATAAAGGTTAGATTTTTCAAACATGGCTCATGTTTGGCATATGACACGTTTGGTTTTATTGTTTTGGGATAGTTTTTCAGCAGTATGTAAAAGATGGGATCGTGATGTTTTCAAATGCAAACTGCAAAACTGAGGCACAAAACTACCAATTGCATTTTAATTTTTTAAATTTTAAATTTTATTACTTTAAGTAATAAAGTAAAATATTCTGGGAGGAAGTAAGCATTTCCCAGCTTCCATTAAAATTGATATAGTGCAAACTTTCTAACAATGTTAAACTTATTAAAACTGAGTTCTGCAGCATCCCCTGTGTTATATGAATAGCTAAAAATTTAGTAAAAAAATTACAGTTTGAGATGAGAAAGGTGGGGCAAAAGAGACTTCACAAAGACCTTTACAGCCAACATAGAAGTATTGATAATTGTAAGTGAAACTTCCTACAGTGAAGAGTAGAGGAGAATGATACATATCTTGAACTTTTTCTAAAACCATGGAAAAATAATTTAATTTCTCTTTCACTTGAATGTTTTCTTGCCATTCCCCTACTTTTGTCCTAATAGTTTAGTCTTTCTGGTGCTTTTGGATTCATGACTTGGCCATTTGGAAGCAACATCAGTTATCAGTAATTGAAAACTAGTGCTTATTCTGGCATGGCATAACTTCCGTTTTTCTTTCCATCTTTAATCTGTGCTGGCCATATCTTGACTTTTTACTTTTCCCTTACCTACTCTAACTTAAGCTTCTATTTGGTCCTGTCCCTTCTCTCTCTCCTTCAGCCTTGTCTTCCTGTTTCATTACTTCTCTCTCTGCCACCCCCTGCCATTCACCACTTGCCATGTGATGAATGTATTTATGAAAAGATATTTTTTTCTTTCATTTATAAGAAGTAACTTTAAAAAAAAATTGAAGACTGTATTTTAAGTGTGTTCTAAAAACTGTCCTTTAAGTTGGAGAATTTTTATCTAAGAGTTTAGATTAATTTTTCAGTGCCTACTATTTATCCGTACAAACATGCATGTTTGCATAAAAATTATATATAAGAATGTATGTTACTATACTGAAAATCTCTATTTTCTACAACTTACTGTTTATTTGGCTGTTTTAGAGATCAGAGAAAGTGTGGGTGATACAGTGGCAGTAACTGGCTGAGTAACTAGAGTTGAGTAATGTTTCCACAGTATGAAAGTTTTACTGCAAACAGTAAGATTAAAACTTACTTTGCTTCTGGTATTTTCTGTACAGCAGAAGAATGTTATTACTGTGTAATAATTTCACATGGGTTCAGTTGCTAATGATTAAACTGTTTTGTGATTTGTACAGATAAACACAAGGACTGCTCTGGTGTAACTTTACATCTGACACAGCAAAAGTAAGTGACTTTAAAAATACTCGCCTATTACATTTTTTTTCATCAGAACAGAAGACATGAAAACCCCTCCTTTAGATTCCTTTGAAAAGATGTGAGATAAAAACAATACATACTTCACAATATTAAGAATTTTGAAGCCATCTGTCATCTGTTGGCAAAAATTTTCATTTCTGCTAAGAAACTTGATGAAGCCATGCCATCAGTATTGAGTTAATCCAGTTTAAGGGCTTCATACTTAGAAATCTGTGACAAGGACAGCAGTTATGTAGATGATCATTTTGTCCTCTTTCATATACTTTGTGGAAGATGCTTTAAAGATTGTAGCTCAATGTGAAAAAAAAGGAGGGAAAGGAAAGTGCTGTGTACTTCTTTCTCAGCAGACCAGTTTCAGATATAAAGCGATATTTAGAAATTAGTGGTGTTAAATGGTATTGCATATTGTGTCACTTGCAGTCGGGTTTTGCAAAGGACTTGTTTATCAGCGCTTGGGTTTTGAATTGCAGGCAGCCTTTGATTGCTGGAATGTATCTTATGATGTCTGTGAACACTGTAATACCACCAGGCGAGAAAGGTGAGTTGTAATTCTACAAAGTGATTATATAATTTCAGCAGCTGATTCATTTTTAATGCTCATTGCGGAAAAAAATTTAGTGGAGATATGCTGAATTGTAGATGGACAAATTAACAGCTTAATAAAAAAATGATTAAAAAATAGATACAATTTTAAAAGTGTATCATATTTTCCAATGACTACATCTGCAAAGGTGATCAATGTTGTAGAAAACAATGATGTACAAACGAATAATGGCCTGTGCAGTACTGAAATTTCTAAGATTCTTAAGAGTATTTATTTTGCTTATTTTTGGCTTAATATTTTACCAAGAAAGCCCTACCTATTTTCTTATCCCTTCCTCCTCTCCCCAAAAAAGGTAAAATTTTTTGAACTCATCTTCATCTGCACTTCTCATTCATGCTATTCATGATTTACTAAGAGTTCAGTTTTAATAAGTGAATTTCTACCAGTAAGTAGCTGCCCTTTAAAAGTTTTATTCCAATGTTCCTAGTTGTTTAAAAGGTCAAAATGCTGAAAAAACATTGTAAAAGAAAGTTTCCAAATAGTTTCTATTCAGAATCCTACTCAGTGGATTTTATCTGAAACTCAGCTTGGATAGTCCCAATATCATTTCTTCAGGCTAGCATGGAATGTTCCATTTTAAGGAAGTTGAACACTGACCTTACGTTTTCCTATGCTATACCAGAATTTTAAATTAGTTATCTGAGAACACTATTTGTCCCATTTACAGGTGGTCAAATGCTCGACTAACTTCAACTGTCTGCCAAAGTCTGCATCTAACCTCAGTCTTTAAGACTGGGCCTGTAAGATCTTAAAATCAAGCCTTCATTTTCTTTTAATTTTCTCCTGAGTAGACTATTTACCATAGCTATCTTTATTTTGTGTCCCTCAGCATAGTCTGTAAGCAACTGTGTTACTTTAACTGTTTGTTAAATAGTAGTAGCATACACTGGAAAAAATGCTACTGAGTTTCAGCCCCATTTTAATGTACATCATCACAGAATGGAATTTTCAAGCTACTTGTACTGTATTTTATTAGTTTTTCTTTACAGATAGACACTGCAGAAATATAAGATATTATCCAGTATCTTTTGAAATTCTCTCTTGTCCGGTGTAGGTATACCTTTTGTAAACCACTTTCACACTGAATGAAGTACAGCAGCATAACTTTTCTCTGATAATTAATGTGTTTTTCTTTGTTTATTGCCATCATATTTTAACAGTGGTTGATGCAGACATTGCCTGCCATTACAAAAGGTTTCCAATGCATCTTTTTGCCTACAGAGTTCATACACACAGACTAGGTAAGAGTTTTATTGCACCATAGGAATATCAAATATTTAACAGAAAAATGCTGACACTACAACGTATTTTTTTGGAAGTATGTCTCATGTTTACATACATATTGGTATGTTACAGGTAAAGTAGTGAGTGGATACAGAGTGAGAAATGGTCAGTGGACATTGATTGGTAGACAGAGTCCACAACTACCACAGGTTGGTTAGTTTTTTAATTCTAACTGTAAATTCTAATTATCTTAATTTATATCTGAGAAGCTGAATTAACAATCACGTACCCACAGATTTGTGTCACGGTGTTTCCGTTGGTACGTGTTGTGCTGCTGAAAGCGAATACTGCCAAGTACTACCATGATTACATTATGATGCAAAACCCATTCTGAAATTACTTTCTAGATGTGTAGCACTGTCATTCTCACATGTGTGTGTATTGACATAATCATCCTATCTTTCAGGCATTCTATCCAGTAGAACATCCTGTAGATGTTAGCTATGATGATATCCTAGCAGCTAGATGTGTGTTCAGTGGTGAAGGCAGAACTACAGAGACACATATAGGGTAAATTTTCTTTTATTTGCTCCATTTCTTAACTGGTATTGGTTATGTGTAGAAATGTATTTGTTTCATGTCGTCTTCCAACAGAATTCTAACAAACTGTTAATTTCTGCTAGAATGGTCTGTTTTCCTGTCTAGTCTGCTAAATTCTACGTAATGTTCATTACCTTTACTTGTGTGAATAACCACTTTGCTGGAATTGTTCAGAACATTTCTCAGGTGAAACTATGCTGTCAAACACCTTACTCAGATGTTGGGCTTCTCTGCACATAGAGAAGGATTCAAAATATCAATTTTAGAATTGTAATTTTTAATAAGTTGAACTTACTGACTGTTCAAAACAAAATAATGAAGCCTCACAGTTTCAGTTCATTGTTTCAGAAAGAAAACTTACGGAAGCTTATAAAATTCTCATAAGTTTTGACCCATCGTAAAATCTAACCTTAAAAGTTCAGAATAATGTACCAGTTACTTTTTTTCAATATAAAATATACAGACTTTTATGAAAGATAATGAAAATATAAATGAGTAGTAATGATAAATGGGAAAATCTGAACTGTTTCAGTGATGCTGTTCAGCCAAAGATGACAGACAGAGCTCTGTAAGATCAAGTTGACAAATATAGCTGTAAAAATAGATGTAATATGAATATTCCCTTAACTGGCTCCAGTTCTTTGAACCATAATTTGCTGCACATGTAGAGGTATGAAGATACCCTGCAGAAAATATCTCCATTCCAGAAGTATATGCTGCAGCACCCCAAGGAATGAGGTTAGTGCATTGAGCGCCCCAAGATTGTATGTCAGTAGAGGGTTAAGGATTCAACACAAATTGGTCACTTTCAGTGCATAGTTAAAATACTGATGAGTAGCAGCTGAAGCAAAATGAATTGTCTAAGGTTTTTTCAAAAGCCATAACATTAAGAAAAGTATATCCAAAACTTTAATTTAACTGTAGACCATTTTTTCACAAGCTCTAAAAGTTTGTCACTTTTCTGTAACATTCCCCAAAGTAGTTACTATTTGTTGAATAATTCTTACAGTTAAGAAACAGTCCTAAGACAATTATGGTCTTTCTTTCAATGTACTAATATGCTTTGAATAGGGAAGTAATAGGAACAGAAATTAAAGAAACAAGCAGACCTTTACATTTTTATTACATAATTTCTACCTGTGAATTTTGATAAACAATGCAGAAGCATTTTAAACAAATATTTAAACTATTACACAAAAGCTGATCCATAATATGGAAATATCTATGGTTGGAAAATACTTACCGCCATAATATGAAAAGAGTGGATGAAAAGGAATGCATTCACAGCAATGCTGGGTATATGGAAAGATACACAGCTAAAATAAATTAAATTAAGTTAAATTTGTTTAAATCTTGGAAGATGTTGCCCTGATGTTGCAGTTGTCTTGCCCCTATTCAGAATGACTTGTTAGTTCAAAAGAACCTTTGAGTTCCAAATATAAATACTGAAGAAACGGGAAATGCAAACGTGAAAGGAAAGCTGTGAAATAATACAGATCTGAAAAGGATCAGGTCAAGTCTTCATGTTCACTTTCCCAATCTCTATATTTAATTTTCTGCCTGTGTTTTTGTTTTTTCTTAAACTAGCTGAAAAAAAGATCTTAAATTCCTTATATGATTTATCTATAATATACATATAAGGCAGTGTTAAAACAAACTTAAGAGTTCACTTTGTCTCTTTGCCTTTCCAAAGCTGATCAGCTAAAGCTTAACTATTCATAATAAATACTAACTGTAGTTAAAACATGACATATTCTCAATGTTGTACTTTCTTAACAGTGTAATAATTTCTGTGATAGTGAACTAGTCCCTTGTGTATGAATTGTCATTTTTGACCAACTTTATTTCTTAGTATCTAACTTGGGGAGGATAGATTTTTTTTTTTTAATTTTTATTTTTTTATCCCTTCCTTACTGTGCTGTTTGTTTCTTTACACATTTGGTCTTGGGTTTTTTTCATGTTTTTCTTTAGTTACACTAACTGCTTTCCATTACCTTACATTATCTCATGACCCCTGTGGTTCACACTAACCTTCTTCATCCTGCTTCTGAGATGCTTTCTCCTAGTCTGAGGAATTAAATTAGGTATTGAGGCATGCCTCTTAAATGTGTAGAATTTGGCAAACCAAGATTCAGAAGTGAAACCTGACTTTGCTTGTGCAGCTGACTTACTTACAAGTGCAGGGTAATTCCACAAGCACAGTCTTAATGTCTCAGGTGTAAAGAGGTGAGGCAGGAGTCATCCCTTCAAAAGTTTAATAAACTGGTTTTCTCCTGAAGCTCAAACTTTTGCAAATTAAAGGGTTGAATTATCCTTCGTCACATTAGAAGGACATCAGCTATTCCTTATTTATAAAACCAGATCTCTTCTAATTTTTGCTGCAGACCAGTAAGTACTCCATGCAAGCAGCCACTGCATTTTTATAACAGATAACTTAATGATTCAGATAACTATGTTTAAAACTCTTTAACAGACAGAAAACAGTGCAACTGGTATCTTTCCCTTTCAAAATATGTTGGTATTGTACCAGTCAAGAGGTTTATGTGCCTGTAGCAAAACATTCCCATTCAGTATTTAAGAATTAAGTATTAAGTTCTTTAACTGCATTATCTTGCTTTTTGATGCTAAATGCTCTGTTTCATCATGCTTCACTGTGTACTGTTAATATGCCGAAATCTGGATATCTGTGGAAGTGGTGTGAAGGCATTTAACAGGATTTTTTTTATTATTTTATTTCTTTTTAATTTGTGCATCAGCATTTCTACTCATTAAAATCATTCACAAAACAGGGTTTCTCAGGAGTTCAAATATTTGATGGAAGGATTCTGGGTTTTCTGTGAGTTTATTAAAACTTGTTGACAAGAGTTCGGGGTTTGTTGTGTTTTTGTTTTTGTTTTTTTTTGCCAGTAAATATTTAAAATCATCAACTTTGAAATGTTTATAGGCAGTGAGGTGTCAGGTGAACCAGAGTTTGTGTGGGTTCCACGTCCCCTTTTCTACTGGGGTTTTAAAGAGGAGGCAATTATAGTGACAGATATTGGGAGTCCAACAGTGAAGTTAATGCTTTCTAAAAGCTTAAGCAGAGCTTGCCAAGCCAGAGTCTGATTTTTGTGGTCTCCAAGGGATGCTAAATTTTCAATGCATGGAAAAATACAGATTCCCCTTTTGAAACAGTCTCTTCTCCCATGTTCCCTCTGTCTCCCCTCCGGCTGGTGTCATTATTGTTGCTATGGTGAATAAATGAATGCTGCAGGATGCTGCTGGAAAAGTCAGTGCTGACGTCTTTTGCAAACCACTAATAGGCCCACCCCCATATCTTTTTATGAGTGTAGCTCACTGGTTAATTGTGAAAGCTAATTAAAAAATATTAATGTACAACCCTTTATTTTGTGAACCTTTCTTTATAAGTCCTAGCTTATTCCATTGTCAGGATTGTAGCTATAAATAAAAGACATCAACCTATATGGCAGAGGAAAAAAAAAAACAGAAACAGATCACAGTTGCAAAGAGGCCCTGTATTGTCTGCTTCAAAAAGTAATATTTTTCAGAAAAAATTATTTCTCGTACCAGCTGGTTTTTTTTCTATTGAAGACAGGATTATGTAGCAGTACAGAAGAGCCTCTTCTGCTTCAAGTACATGCACAACATTTATCAAAGAACTGAATTCTGCTGGTGTTTAATCATTCCTCTTGCACTCATGTTTTCCTTATGGAAGCTTGTGATCAAGTTATTCTCAAGATGGCAGGGGCTATTTAAGAGATATTTATGGTGTCTTAATATGTAATGAAATTAAGTTTTGCTGCATTAGAACCAGAGTGATTGGCCAATAAATGAATGCACTTGAATACGGGGGGGGAAAAAACCTGTCATTCCATTCTGAAATGAAACATAGTTGTTATTCGCAATGATTTTAAATTAGGCTTGCCCCAGATTGACAGAGAAGTGTATGAATGGTACACATGAATGATACAGTTATTTCTTACTTCATCAGAACATGTGCATAGTTGATGACACACTGGGAGCTATGAAGAGTATACCAGGGAATGAAGAGCAGTTTAAATAGTTGATGCAATTTTCAGTAGAATAAAACCCAAATTGTTAAGAATTTCTGAGATACCTGGGGAGTTTGTGCAAAGTGGTATTCTCTAGTACAAACTGAAAGAAACTTTTCATATTCACTGCAATGAAGCTATTAAATATTTTAGTGTGCAACTTCTGAAGATTTCATTGCAACTTTTTAATATTTTGTTAAAGAAGTTCAGTGAATTGATAAACAGCTATATTCAGCTTTTTTTTTTCCTAACTGCCACATCTTTTCTGTGCTGTGTAGGGGAACAGCCAATGATGAAATGTGCAATTTTTACATTATGTACTATATGGAAGCCAAGCATGCTGTCTCGTATATGACCTGCACACAGAATGCAAACCCTGAGATGTTCAGAAATATACCGCAGGAGGCAAACATTCCTATTCCAGTCAAGTCTGATATGCTAAGGATGACGCATGGACATCATGAAGGTGAAAAAAACTTGTAATCCATTTTAATTCAAGTATTTTTGTGCTCACTGATGTGTTTGTGTTGCTTTGATAAGCTAAATTTTTATAAAAAGGAAATGCAATTCTGAATAAAATTCAAGTCGCTAATTATAGACTGTCATGGGATTATTCTCCTGGTTTTGGTGGAAATGTCTGCCATAGTCTTTTGTCCATTTCTTCCTATTGTCATCTTTCAATTTCCAATATATTTTTGTAGCTACATTAGCTGTGTTCCCAAAAGATCGACCTCTTTCCTATGCCAAATATCAGCACTTCATAGTAACAGTTTCTTAACATTTGCTTTATCTTCTATCTGTTTCCTACAAAATTGAATCATAACATTTTCATAGTTTTCTGGATCCCACTGCCTTGTTATGGAAGGAATCAACTGTTTATATTGGACACTAGTAGGCATATAAGTTGCACCAGCAATACTATCCAGAATTAATCTGACTGGTATGTCAGTGTAGCAAAGTACAAATTGTAATTTTTTTATGCCAGTTGTTCTACTGCTGCACTGTTTAGTACAACTACAATAGACAGATAAAAATACCAAATGTGCAATTCAGAAGGGCTTTTTCCCCCAGCAGGAAAACACTCAATTTCATTTACACACAGAGGTTAACATCATATCCTAAATCCATTTTTCAGAAACCAAGGATACTGATAAAAGTTCTTTGCTGCAGCAGGCCAAAAAAGAGGAGGAAGAGATTTTGGATCAGGGTATGTACTTGTTTGTTTCTATGTCAAGTAAAGGACTCACTAATGTAACACACTGATAAATTATATCCTGATTGTTAACAAGTTATGAAGTTTTTAATCTGTTTATCTTTAATTGATGCAATTTGCAATGTTCTGTACAGCTAATATGATTGCTATATAAGAATTAATTTTAAAAATTGGTCTACCACTGATCACGAGCCTTGTAGGTAAAATTTATTAGTTCATTTTAATCTCATTAGTTTTCCTCTTCTTGGTTTAATTTGCTAAAGAAGGTTGTAATTTATCTGTACGTGCAGTCCTAAAGAATGGAAACCAAGAATTAATCCTATAGTATAGAACTGTTCTATATTCTGTATGTAACTATCTGCTATTAGCTCTTAGCCTGTTTCTCAGTTTGTATTACTATGTATGTATTAGGGAATAATATGTTCTTATACTTCAATATGGGTTGAGTGCAACTAATGTTTATACTGAGTTATTTTTTGCTACATTTGTGTATGTCTGCATATACGCCTGACAACTCGTGCAAAAATGTGTGGAGTACTTAGTTGCAGGAAAAAAATCCATGACTGTTACAAAGCTTCTAGAAATATGCTGAATGTTATTTATGTGTTAGAGATATATTAAAGTAAGGCTGTACTTTAAATTTCTTCTGGATCATATGTTATTCGATAAGTATTGGTTTAGTATCAAGATTTTTCTTGATACTAAGGAGAAGACCTCATCAGCTACAGTTTCCTACTGTTTTCATTGAACAATGTTGAGTTTCAAGGACTAAATAAACTGAAGACGTATTTCCTTTTGCCTTTAATGAGAGTAAAGTGTTTATCGTTTTTGAAAACATCTCCCAAAGGGGGTAGATTTTCTATATACTCTGCCACTTTGCAGAGTAAACGCAAATAATTAAGTTCCAGTTACACAAAAAAGAGCTTCTAGAGTGTACAAGCATCTTGAGTGAAAGTACTTTAAACTACTAGAGACAATATTTACAGTTCCATATCTGAAATTTAGTCAATTCAAGATGGATTATTTTAGAAATAAATACAATTCTAGTTTTTTAAGCCTATTCTGGAGCAAAATGAGCTAGCTGCTTACAAATTTATATCAAGATTTATGCTGACAAGCTGCTTCACCTTTATGTTACTAATAAGCACATTTGCATTTGGCCAAGGATCTTGTTATCTGTGTGTTTTATTGAATTTGTTAATGTTTGAAGCAAAATGTTGAAACAAGGTTCTGTTTTTAAAATCTCTTTCATTTGTCTTTGAAATGCATTTCAAAGCCACATTTCTGCAATGCAGTCTCATTTGCGGAGACCACTATTTAGTATACATCCTCATCTAACATGTTTCTATGGAAACGCACTGCATTGTTTTGTCCATTTGAAATTAGTTGGGTTCATGATGTGAAATATCAAAACACAGTAGTTACCATGAGAGAATTTTGTTTCATGTTCTTAATTGTTAGTTTAAGATAAATTCTCCCACCATTTACAGGAGCCTAGCTTCAATTTTACATTCATAACAGCTCTAACTTCAGTTGAATTATGTGTGTGTAAGCAAAACAAAAACAAAAACAAAAAAAGGGAAAATCAGGTCAGGTTTGGTGTTATTTTTGTCTCCAAAGAAGGAAAGTTGAGTGGCTGTTCTAGAAAGTGGGTTTGGGGCCTACAAGCGCATTAGTGCCTGGTAAGATCCACTGGCAAAACCAGGAGCTGAAAGTGGTCTGTTAAAATGTGCTGATAAAAATCACATACAAATTGTAGTCTGGCTTTGTGGGGCAAAGTGGTTTTATGTCATTGTGTTGCCAATTTGTCCACCTCCTCAAGTAACTTTAGTGGGTTAGCCAATATCAACTAAATTTGAACAAGGTGTTAACGACAGAAAAATTCTACATTTTGGAGGGAGTGGGCAGTGGACCCCTAAGCTGCACAGAAGGAAATACATACTTTCACTGAGGTAAAGGTTATAACATAAATTTTTTTGCTCTATGGTCTGGCATGACGTACTCTATATGATAAGCTTATCTACAAAACACAGATCCACCAAAAGTCAGGCTTTGATTAGTTTTATTGCTGCTGAGCCATTGCTGTATAAATTCAACCTTTGATTTACTCTGACGATAGTATTTCAGTGATTTTTCCATAATTCTGTGTTTTATCTTGCATGGCTTTCGATGACTCATTATGCTATGCTGTAGCAACTTCACTTTACCCTCCTTAGTTTCAGGTAACTGAAGTAAATGCTGTTACTTCACTAAAACTGAAATAGTTGTTAAATTGTTATGTTGCCCTGCAGATACTTACAAATCTGTGGGGTAGAGGCATGGTCAGAGAGACAAATTTTGATGTGACTAGTATTAAGTCTGAACATTTGCCTCAAAAGGGGAAACCAAAAAAGCTTGCCATGTGAAAGTATCTGCCTGCTACTAATGTGTATATCACATGATTGCCTGGACATAATTTAGAAGATGTGCTTCCTGCTACATGCAGACAGTTCATTATGTTGGCACCTCCAGGAGTTATCATTGCCTTTATGTTAAATTTTCAATTTCATCACCTTAACTCATCAGAAGCACATTAATAAACAAGGTAAATATATTGAAATAAGTAGTAACCATCACAAAGTGAACCACCACGCACCATGAAGACAAAGCTAAGTCCCTGTAGTGTTAAAATTGAACTGAACTTACGTTAATGAAAGTGACTTCATTATATTTTTTTCCAAAACAGCAATGTCACTGTTTGGTGAAGATAAACTGTTCATAGGAAGTTAATTATTGTAGGAAATGCAATTGATTTATACATTTGTGCATATTGGAGACTTTCCTGTTCCTTCTGAAGCACAAAGTCCCTAGCAAAACAAATATTATTTACAGGGGTTTTTTGTTCATCAACAGAAGTTTGATTAAATTGTACTCAGTAGATACACTACTGAAGAAGCCTATTTTCTGTTCATAGCATTCACCATGTCTGCTAGATATGCCTTCTTTCCCTGTGGAAAAAAGGCCTGAATGTTTTTCATTCTGTTTCTTCAACACTTTGCTGGCTGTAGTCTGTGGCATAAAATAATACAGTTTAGGTTTGTTTTGGGATGCATGCAGTAAAGCAGCCTTTACTATCAAGAAAGTCAGCTGCTGCTGTACCTGAAAGCTGTGTATAGACACACTAGCAGGAGCAGTTTCTTAATAACAAGGAAGGAATATACAGGTGATGGTTTCTTGACTTGTGGCTCATGATTTGATACCTCATTTTATGTGCATTAGATGTAATCACAAACTTTCTTTTGAAGGAGAAAGGGCAATTTCTTTTCCTTGTGAAGCCAATATAATTATGTTTAAATGGTTTAAAAAAAAAATGCAAGGCTGACTAGAACTGAAAATTCACTTGCAGTTTATAAACCAAAAATTAGACTTGATTTTTTTGTTTTAGAAGGACATCTCTGTACACATGTATACAATACTTACACGTACATGGGAGAGAAAAGAGATGGGATTTTCATCTTACTTCTGCTAGTAATGCTTACTGTGACACTTTAAAAAGTACATTTTTGCTTGTGTCTGGCTCAGGGAATTTAGAAGTTAGGACTGAAAAAGTAACTTGTATATTTTTGCCTCTGATGGTAGAATCTGAAGTGAGAGTTAAAGTTAATTCTTTGGCTCTTGGTATTGTTCAGTTGCACTGCCAATACATTTTTTTTTTTTTTCCCCTTATCCACCATTATTTCTTGACTACCATGAGCACAAGTTATTGAGGGCTGAATGAAGGAGCTCAGATGGTGGAGTTCAATACAAGTGAACTTAAGATCTCTGGTTTTGAATGTCCCAGCTAGACTCATCTGAGGTCCTTTTTTCACGGCTCTTTTAACTGAAATCCCATTAAACCTTCTACATTTAAAATAATATTACAGCTTCAGTCTAGCATTCAGAAGTTGGCTTTTTTAAAGTTGGGCTTCAAGTCTGCAATCATAGAAGTGCTGTCCTGGTGGTGAGATAGGTTGCATAGAACACCTCACTGAACTTCTACTGTGCCGTTTTAGAGATTAGAATATGTATAGTGAGTGAAGTAGAGGCCAGCATAAAGAACAGAATATGACTTCATGGTCTAAGGCAATCTGATGCTCTCTGATGAAAGCGTGTTTTACTTTAGAGTCTGATAAGAGTTGCTGAATGGTTCTAGGTAGCTGGGTACCTTTGCAAAATCTGATTTCCTGATCTGTTTTCCTAGTCTTTGAGGATGGGCAAAACAACTGAAGCTAAGTCTTGCATATACACAGCTCCTCCTGAAATTGAATGTGAAATACAGTGCAAGTACCCTGTAAAATCACATTTTGAGATGTTTCTACATGGACAACCAAAATGAATGGATGCTAAATGACAGTTCTGGCTGTAATCTCTAGAAAAGAAGCAGTAATTATGGACCTTAATTTCATAGGCCAGGCTGTGATAATGAAGTCATTTAGTGTAAGTCAGTGTTTCATAAACAGAGATGATGGAATAGAAATGTTAAGAGAATTCTTTCTATTCAGTTAAAATACTTGTTCAGGAGTGGTTAGATGGGGATTCTTTGAATGAGGTTAAATAGAAATGATGACCCATTGATTGTGTGAGGAGGTCTCTTTGTAAAGAAAATCAACACCATCATCCATACAAAATGGGGGCTGAATGAAGATTACACTTCATTTATTACATTTATTATGTGTTGGATGCCTAACAAATCTTTTAATTATTTTCAGTTGTTATAAGCTATATTTACATGTGAGTGCACACACGCACACAGAGGTTAAAACTTCTGCACAACATTTTTGTTACACTGCTGGAAACTTTTTGCTAGGTTGTAGATGAACCTCTGAGTTGAGGAACTGAAATGTCTGTTCAGTGTTCCATACTTTGCTGTTTACTTGTGCATGTCTGTGAAAAGCTCATTACAATAAAGATCTACTGAACAAAGCTTTTTGTATCTGGGATAGAAAATTCTGATTAAGTGAGAGGAGGAGGTATAG